ACATATTTTCTCTTTGCCATTTTTCAAATAAGTTCAAAATAACCGTGTTATTTAAGTTTGAAAATTTAAAAATGATTTTTTTTAAATTTTGAGAGCCACCGGATTTTTTCTGTAATTGCGTTTTAGTGCCGTAACCATAGAGTAAAGCCGTAACTATGGTAATATCAGAGAACAGGCAGTTCTAAAAAGTTTTCGAAAAATATACAGGGAAATTTAAAAGAAAATGCACGATTTTCAACGTCTTTATTTTGCGAAAAAGACCTCATAGACGTGTTCCTGGGGTCGAAATATACCAGCCCTGAAAATATTGGCACTTATTTAAGACTCACCCTGTATAGAAAGATTGAAGAAAACATGAGCAAAGTTCAGTTCGAATTCAGAAGTGGAATGGGAACGAGAGCGAGAAGCCCTCTTTTCTATACTGGTCCTAATACAGAGGGCAAGAGACGCAAAGAGGGCAAGAGACGTAAACTGCGATGTCTACGCTTGTTTTATCGACTTCGAGGAGGCGTTTGATAGAATGCAACACCACAAATTATTTGAAATATTAATGGAATATGGTATCGACGACAAAATCTCTCGCCTTATAACTAATTTGTATCTGCACCAGAGAGCTACCGTGCGTGTAGACAACGAAACCTCCCAAGAATTTACAGTGAGTCGGGGACTGCGTCAGGGATGCATACTGTCACCAATTCTGTTGAACACGTACTCCGAAGTACTGTTTAGACAAGTGCTCAGTGAAACAGAAGAGGGAATTAAGATTAATGGAGAAACCATCGAAACCATTTAAGGTACGCGACGATACAGTTCTCATAGAAGATAGTGCTGAGGGATTGCAAAAATTAATAGACCGAGTAGTAGAGGCATGTGATCTGTATGGTATGAGGCTTAACTGCAAAGAAGACCAAAATTCTAATAGTTAGTAAAAATGATGAGACGCAGTACCACCAGTTTAGGGCGAATAACGATTACAACCTTGAAAACAGTAGATAAAATCACGTATTTGGGCTGCAGCCTGAACAAGGAATGGGATCACCCACGAGAAATCAGATGCCGCATAGAACAATCCAGAACCGTTTTTAACCGTCTTAGAAAGATCCAATGCAATATGTACCTGAATATTGCTATAAGAACACGGGTCTTAAGGTGCTACGTATTCTCCACGCTCCTATTTGCCGTAATTAAATCTTGAAGAAACCATCGTTATATCGCCCCAAGTCGAACAAAATTAAAAATGAAAATAAATAGTTAAAAAAGTTGAAGATCTCTTTTAAAATGTTGGTTTATCAAAAAGCCAAAAGGTAAGAAAAGTTTGAGATAAAGAAAACAAAATAAATGTTGTAACACTAGTTGTATAAAAATTAAAAATAAGGAAGGTCTAACTTGTCTAAGTATTAATTAGCTGTACTACTGGAAGAGAATTGTTTAATTTGAATAGAAAAAAATTCAGAATTATTTCAAAGAAAGGATTATTTTCTATTTCGGGATTATCTAAGGATTATATAATCATAACATAACCTCGTTTTTCATTCTTCATTTATTATCCACCACTCCTAGACATGGAAAGAGAGGGGACAGGTAACACGGCAGCTGAAAGTGAGGCAAGTTGTCACCACACGAAATTCTCCAATGGCGTAGCATCAGAAATTAGCTTGTACATAGACGATACAAAATATTTATTAAAACGTAAACTAATAAATCGTTCATTTTTGAGTAATGCATATACAGTTTTGTATTTTATAGTCTCACCTTTATAATATTAGAATATCTAAGTCGATAATGCAAAATTTATTTAACAGTCACAGTGGACTGATTATCAAGACAATTATTTATTTATTAACGAGTGTATAATGTATAATTAAATAAAAAATAATGTAATAACATATCGTCCTACTGCTGTCAAAAGTCACTAACTAACATTTTTCCGAACAACCAAATTCAATCACTAACTATCTTTTGAAGCGGAGAATCGATTGTAAAAGTCATTAACTACGATTTCTGGCTATTTATGTTTTATTTTAATACCGAATAGTTACTAACTATAACATCTTTATACAATGCAATTCATCTTTAGACGCATTTTTCTCGGAAGTAATAAAAAGTAAGTTAGTGACTTTTGGCAGCAATGGCACGATATATTTTAAACGTGTATATTCATATACTGTATGATCAAAAAAAACGGCGTCTTGTTTGTTTGGAAATGACAATTTCATAAATAAATATTAAAAATTACATTATTCATTGAATCCGTAAGCAAGTGTGAAGGGAATTGGCTAGATTCATTATTATACAGTATAATCGAAAAAAATACGACGTCCAGTTGGCTTGTAAATTACGATCGATAACATTTCCCATATAATTCTACCTATAAAATGACATAAAAACTATACAAAACGACATCGAAAAAAGACGGCGTCAGCGATGGCTATGAAATGAAGATCGCTGTCATTTTATATGTAAAATTATATGGGGAATGTCGTCGATCGTCATTTACAAGCCAACTGGATGTCGTTTTTTTCGACCATACGGTATAATAATGAATCTAGCCATTACCCTTCACACTTGCGTACGGCGTACGGATTCAATGAATAATGTAATTTTTAATATTTGTTACCTTCAATCATAAGAATATCCTATTTTTAAGATTATCCGAATTTATCCACAAAAAAATAAAACAATTCTAGAAGCTTTGTGTTATTTTATTTATGTTTAAATTTTTATTAATTACTCACTGAAACTATTATTATACACTTAAATTAGCAAATTTTTTAAAAGAATATATAAAAAAATATATGCATGTAGTAACAAGTAGCCCACCACAAGTTTGTCCACCCCCAACAAATCTTGGCAGGTAAATTTAAGTTTTATGTAACAACTATACATATAGATTTTTTATCAGTAGAATTTTTCATTTTTTATAGTTTACAATTACTTTACATATTTGATAACAATACTTTATACATTTTTTTACATGTAAAATATATAAAAAAATGTTTGTTGCGGAAATTGTATTTCTCTGATTATAATTCCCTACGCCACTGGTGAAATCCGGTCTGAGTAGCAATATTTATAATTTCAATCATTAATTATAATACAGGATATTGAAAATACTACTTGGAATTATTAAAAATAGTTTGGTTTGGATGTGGTACAAGACATATTAAAAGCATTTTACATATTTTTACTGCTATAATGAAAAAAATTTACATTTTATGACCACATAACAAAAGTTGTGTATCGATTTTTACCTGTGAAATGTAATTCCAGCCACTTTTTTCTCGCTTCGGCCTTTGCAGCCATACGCCGAACATCTCACCGTACTAAACAACACAGTTTATCAATTTAAAACAAAACAGTTGTCACAAAAAGCATAAAAATTCGCTCGGTGTCACCTCGAAATCTTGTCACCAAAGTATGGCCGCCGATGCGTGTTACCCGTCCCCTCTCTTTCCTTGTCTAAGTCCACCACTATACAGACCCTATTTAAGACGCTTGCCACTAAATTTAACCTGTCACTGCGTGCTGTCCTCGTTATTAGGAACTCTCTCGAAATATCATCTAACAAATCACCTTATTTTTGACAAAAATAAGGTGCGAATAAAAGGAAACATAATGAGATTTTAAAAAAGAAACGAGATTTTTTTTCCCTCCGAACAAAAGAACTGGGACGTATTTTATTTTTTGTAAAAGGTATTTATTTTTTTCCTGGCTTTCTTATTACATGATTTGTATTTTACGTTGATAATAAAGACCGTTATTTATAAGGTTATTAAATTTGTGCCTTTTTTGTTTAGAATAAATTTATTAGGTGCCCATAATGGATTTTCGAAAAATAAAATCCCATCAAAAACATAAAAAATGTATAAAAAAAATAGTGTGTACACTATGTGCGCATATTTGAGTCTGAAATGTTGAAAAAGTAATAAATTAAAAAATATATATTTTACGCCAAAAAAATATTGTTTATGTGTAACAAATAGTTTTTTGCGCGTAAAATAAATACATATTTCTAAGCCGTGTCTCGCTAGCTCGTGTGACACTGCCTTGAATTTTTACTCCCAGCTCGCGTCCTTGCCACTTTTCGTCTCGCGTGTCGTCCCGCTAGCGCGTGCGTCACGGCCTCGAATTTTTAGGTAGTCTCGCGACCTATTTTTAATAGTTTGCGATTTATTCCAATTTTTTCTACTTTTACCCATATTTTTAATACAATTACGCTATAACATCATAGTTCCATGACAAAACAAAAATATTTATTACTTATCTTTAACAAGTAGTTTAATAATTAGTTACAATTGTTATTATTAGTTAGAGTTAATTAACTTTACTCAAATAAACTAAAATCGCAGTCGTGAATTTCTTGGTGTATTTCTATATTATGAAGGATGACACTTGGATTTTCCGTTAGGGCGAATAGCTACAGATTAGGGTAATACTAGATTAGCTAATTGTTGACGACTACTGATATAGGAATTTTCTTCGACATAAAGTAATATTTTTCTTCTCGTAGTAATCCTGGTTTATAATTCATTTCGTAAAGCCAATATTATACTAGTGCCGCGAAACCGTCCCATTACACATTGAAAATGTTTTCTAGATAATCTACATTATTCTTATAGTACTTAGCAAAGTACTATATAATACAGTAAAACTTCCATATAGCGGCCACAAAAATTTTCAAAGGAATGTGGCCGTTAAGGGAAGTGGCCACTATTGGGAACAATAAAATACAGATACCAATGTAAAATGCCTTTATTTTGGAAACGTGCAAAGTAATTAAAATTAAGTACGAGCATGTAGTACAAACACACAATAAGTGTTAATAAATGTTCTTCAGTTTTAGATTTTGGCACAAAAATAATTCAGTTGTTACAAAAAAAACTTTATTACATAAGAATTTTGAAAAAAACTTACAATGTATACATATGTATTTTACACATAGGTATTCTTATATACATATGTACAATTGACTTTAAAAAGTTACAAAATGATAACCTTATTTATATGGTGAAAAACTGATTAATGGTAGTCTGCTTTAAATTTTTAATTTTGATTTTTGTAATTTCACTTTCAAATTTCATCAAAGTATGGGCAATATCAACCGCTAGTTCGTCTTTGTTTTGAATCACCAAAAAATTCTGAATGTCTCTTAATTTTTCACATACTTCACTCATATTATTTATAGATGAACACAGAATGTCTTGGCCTTCATCTTCTTCCTCTTCGGCTTGAGTGGAGTCCTGTCTGTCCTTGTTGTTTGTAAATTCCTGGATTATTCCCTGCATCTCTAAACTAGGATTTTCCGTAGGGACATCTGAATCGACTGTCAGATATTCTTTAAGATCTGGACTTCCTGGCATGTTTTTTAAAATTGAAGATAACTGACTTAAAGGAATGTCGTCCTCTTCGTCAAATGCATCGTCCCCTTTGACGGTTGCAAATCCCGCTTTTTGGAAACATTTTTTTATAGTGTTCGATGTAACATTTTTCCATGCTGTACTTATCCACACCATAGTACTTGCCAAATTTATGCTCTCTTTAGCCTTTTCCATCGTTTCTTCGGTATTAGTAAAAGTCAAAAGTCTTTTAATAAAAAATTGACGATATTTTAATTTAAAATTTTGAATAATTCCTTGGTCCAACGGCTGGCAATGAGATGTCGTATTTGGAGGAAAAAAAATTATACGAACATTTTCAAGTTCTATTTTTGGGTGAGACGTGGCATTATCCAAAAATAAAAGAACTTTTCTACCCTGCCGTTTCATTTTGGTGTCAAAGGTTTTGAGCCAAGATGTCATTATATCTGTCGTCATCCAAGCTTTTTTGTTGGATACCCATTCTATCGGCAATTTATCTACATGCGCTCCTTTAAAACATCTCGGGTTTTTGCTCTTACCTATAACTAGCGGATTTTCCTTCTCACCATGCATGCTGCAACAGAAAAGCAGTGTCACTCGTTGTTTAGCTGATTTTTTGCCAGCACATTTATCATTCTTTAAAGCAAAGGTTTTGTTTGGCATTGCCATATAATAAAGCCCTGTTTCGTCTGCATTAAAAATGTCTTTAGTGTCGTATTCCTTAATGATTGCTGTTAATTTTGTTTTCCAGTCTTCAACAGTCACTTCATCCACATCTGCAGACTCACCACAAATTGTTTTGAAGTTAATATTATGTCTCTTGCAAAACTTATTTAACCAGCCAGTTGAAGCCTTAAATTCACTAAGTTTCAAGGATGTAGATACCTCAAGAGCTTTTTCCCGAATTAAGGTTCCCGATATGGGTATGTTTTTGTTCCTTGCCTTACAAAACCATTCGTAAACTAGTTGATCGATTGCAAATCCTTCTGTTTTAGGAAACTTTCGTTTTTTATCTGCATTGCATCCTTCTTCTTCAAACATTTTTTTTAATTCCACTTTGTTTTTTAAAATGTCGTTCACTTGCGTTCTTCCAACACCAAACTTTTCCGCCAACTTTCGAGCACTGCTGTTATATTTTTCACTTTCCGCGACAATATTTAATTTCTCTTTAATAGACAAACGTTTACGTTTCAAAGACATGGTTGCTGTTCTTTCAGAGTAAGAAACTAAACTGATTCTATATCTCCCAAAAATTTCAGCAAACTACTGACGAATTTGTATTGTATTTGTCACTCTCTGTACCTACTTCTCAAACAAATTATAAATGTTTATTGCTTGGAATTTCCTAAAGTGTCCTGAAACAGCTCTTGTTAGACAAAAAAAGGTTCGAAGGGTTCGGTTTTTGGCCGGTTTTGGGCCAATAAATTTAATGGGTTTTTCCCTAAAATGTACCTTTGAAGCGGCCGGTGACCGCTTTCGGAATTAACGTTATTGAGAAATATTTTAATATAGGAATTCCCCTAAGATTAATTCAAACAACTGAAAATTGACCGCTAACAGAAGTGACCGCTTTTTAGAATTGGCCGAAATGGGAAGTTTTACTATAGTACTGAACCAAAAAATATGTTTTTCTTGGCTTGTTCGTGTTTAATAGTTTCATAGTTGTCGATTTTCGAAAGAAATCAGTACATGTATATTATTTCGTATATTTTTCATTTTATTCATTTTATGGAAAGGACCGTTCATTAAAATGTTGTATCCTATGTTATAGGGCTTGTTTCTCTCTACAATTTCCTGTCTCACAATGTACCGTTTGTGTCGGGGAAGGGATCATAGTTTCATAGTTGTCGATTTTCGAAAGAAATCAGTACATGTAAATTATTTTGTATATTTTTCCTTTTATTGATTTTATGGAAAGCACTGTTCATTAAAATGTTGTATCCTATGTTATAGGGCTTGTTTCTCTCTACAATTTCCTGTCTCTCAATGTACCGTTTGTATCCAGGAAGGGTTCATAGTTTCATAGTTGTCAGTTTTCGAAAGAAAACAGTACATGTATATTATTTCGTATATTTTTCATTTTATTGATTTTATGGAAAGCACTGTTCATTAAAATGTTGTATCCTATGTTATAGGGCTTGTTTCCCTCTACAATTTCCTTTCCCAGAATGTACCGTTTGTATCCAGGAAGGGTTCATAGTTTCATAGTTGTCGATTTTCGAAAGAAATCCCCCCCAGTACATGTATATATTTCACATTTCAATCACATTGCCTAATTCATTTCAAAAAAATCTGTAACTATTTTCTCTGCCATTTATACTTATTACAACAAATTAAACTAAAATTCAAGTTTTGTTCTGAACTATGCTTAACGGACATACGAAATTTTGATAATTATTATCTTTTGTCATGATAACTCTGATGTTATAGCGTAATTGCATCAAAAAATGGGTAAAAATAGAAAAAAATGGAATAAATCGCAAACTATTAAAAATAGGTATATGACATACTTAATAAAAGTTGAAGAGTTTTGTAAAATCTATTTAGCACAAAACTACAACTACCTACAACAAACTTTACAATAAAAATGTTAAATTTTCGCTGTTCGATTAAAATACCCTATCTTATGTTTTCTTTTCCTCCAAATAATCTTCTTGTCAAGTAAGGACCAATTTTATTTGACATATTTCTGGTACACTTGAACTTGTGCTTTCATGGACACTATAAGAGTGCACTGTTTTACAGAAGCATGAACATTGATTCCAAGTATCTTCTTCCTCCACACGTAATAAAAACATCCTGTTTAAATGGCCACATCATACACTTATTTTTGACAAAATATTTTATTATAAAAATTTTTAGGAAAACTAAAAATAAACAGTTTTGGATCATCTGTAAACACGATTATGTTGTATAAACTTACACATGAAAACTAATCATTTTTCCCGGCGTATTAGCTTTCTTAGAATGACTATGACAATATACAATAAGCCTTTTTGAATTAGTATTTAGAATAATTGAGACTCTGATTGAGATAATAATAAATTTTAACTAGATAACAACACGAACGAAAAAAAAACAAAACAAACAGATGTCAATTAAAGAGGGGAAGTGACAGCGAGACCTGGAAGATGTCTGCCATCTTGCCATCGACAAAAATTTGGATGCGCACTCGTCGAAGCTCATTCTCCCACTTCCATATCTCTGCGTCTAATAAATTATTTGATTGTTTTGATTTCCTATTTTAAGCCAGCCAAGCCTGACCTTTGTTTTATAAACAAATAAAACCAAGTTGGGTTTGTATTAATCCACTCCCTACAAAATATTTTTAATCAAAATATGAAAGATGTAAGTCTCATCTTCAGGCCAAGAATATATACATCTTTAAAATATTGCTTTTTGAAACCTAACAAATCACTTTCAGAGAACAAAACAAGGCGTATATTTCACTGTTCTGTCTGTTTCTGCCTACGCCCGCCGCGCCAAGATAATGTAGGTATCTGTTTTTCTGTCGGAATATGCTTAAAAAAGAATTGTATGTATTTTTATTGTAAGTTTTTCATATGTATTTTTGTAGTAGAAATGTATATCTTTTAAGATATAAAAAACTGACGTTAACTTAGAAAAATTCATATTTTTTTTGAAAATCGGTTCCTGAGGTTATGGTCCTTAACTCGGTCCTTATTAAAAATTATTTATTTTTTTTCCTTTCAAGTGAAACACGTTATCTAAGTCCAAGGACTGTATTATATTCTAAACGACTGTTCGATCGCGTCAAATCGCCGCTGTCGTAGTCGCCGTGGAATGTTACGTCACGCGCTGACCGGCGCTCCACAGTGCGGCGGATGGTTATTCTAGCGGGACAAAACCTCAAGAGCAATGTTTTGGACTTAAAATCTAAGAACGTAGCAAATGGTCTAATATATAGCAATTATATGGTTAAATTTATTTATTTATTAACAACTTAATTTATTAATAAATAAATACAAGATAATAAAACTATGATATTATTCGTACATGACACACAAACACCGTATTTTAAACTATTGCCAAATACATAAAATTATGATATCAAAAAACTCTTTGTTTTTTTTAATTAATTTGTACTCTTGTGACACCCTCTATAATTTATTTTAAAAAAATATATTTTATTTTGAAAATAATAAATAAGATAGATATTTTAATTTTAATTTTAACACTCGGTAATTGTAAATTCATATATAGTAAGTATCTAAGACAATTTTTTAAACTCAGTGCCTTTTGATGGAGTTGTTTTGTTTTTATACTATCCGATTGAAATTAATCTTTTTGGGCATTCACCTGTTAAGCTTGAACTCCCTGTGACTGTGACTACCTGTGTTGGTAACTATTGTAACTTAAAAGATCTACATCATTCAATATATCGATATTTGAAAAAAAGTGAAAGTTTGATATCTGCAGAACAAAGACACGAAGGATTTTAACAAATAATATACGTACAGTAGAAAAGTACATACGTTTGGCAATCTTCAACATAATTTGGCTTTCTAATAAAATGTATAACCACTTGTAAATATTTTGTTTTCGTATGATCTCTGCTTTGCTGAACAGAAAACAACAAAATTTGGTTGATAAAATGTATCGAAATACAAAGAATATTCATGCATTTTTGTATCAATTGGAATGTCTACTATTTATTCTTATCAGTACATATTTTTTGGCTTATTTCTAACCAAACGCTTTTGTCCCGCTAAATTTATCTTCCAACGCACTGTGCGCTCGTCCGTCAAATGCAAAAATAACAGTCACTGTCTAAAATCTTTAGCGCCAACTCGGTCAGTAGATGACGTAAAAAAACTGACAGTGCAGGAAGATAGGAATCGAAATATCCTTATCTCTATAGTATCCTTGATCTAAGTCTACGTTTCGATCGATATTCGATCTTTATTAAAACTTTTTATTATAATCTTGGACGTCACAAAAACCGGACGTCCAGTCTATACGTTAATAGTACTTATACAATACTTATCAGTCATCGTCAGTCTATATGTAATAGAGTACTAAGTACTAATTATTTCCTAGTTTGATCAAATTGACATCAAAAATATATAAACTAGCAAAAAGGTATCATATTATCTTCTTAATAACATTTTGCAAAGAGTTAACAAATAAGGGAGTGGGAAGATGGTGGTCGATTTTTCAACCAGAGATTGTTAAAGCAAATAGATAATATGTAATGGTCTAATTTTTATAATGTATAGACTGTATGTATCATCCAATTTAAGAAAAAAAGTGTAAGTTCATTTTAATCTCCATTAGCTCTCTACTCAAAAATATGTCCATATCCAGTAAATCAAATTTTGTTTTTCTAGAAACTCGCATCCTATGAGAAATGAACGAAAATATACAGGATATGTCAAGGATTTTAGAAAATATCATCCGAGCCGTAAATTTGGTGCATTAGGTACCGGGTGTTGCCTCGTCGGACGGGACATAGGAAATCCCATGTAAATTTTAATGGAGTCAATTATTTATTGGCTTCCCTAATTATTTTAGAGAATAATTCTATTTAGGTTTATTGAAGAGCACTAAAACCCACATTTCAAAAGAATAACTTTAAATATTTTTGATTAGCTCGTTTACGAGTTATCGCAGATTTCTTTTTACATATTCTCCTTCCTTATGGCCCTGTATTTACTTATGAGCACTAGTCAAGGTAAAAGATAACTGTCAAATGAAGTTGTCATTTCAGAAATTTACCTATTTAGTACTTTATTATTATTGAAAACTCATTCCTACATCGGAAATCTTAAAGATGTATTTATAAATACAAATTAATATGAATTAAAGTAAAATAAAGTAATCAATTACAAGGTTAATTATAGTATTATTACAATATAAATGCATATTTATTTAGGTACTATTAAATTGTTAGAACTTTTGGGATTTAAGAAGATGTTCAAATATTCCTCCATCGACTGGTAGACAATAACCCAGGCGATCATAAAATTCTCTTCTTACATTCGCTAGTTGATAAACTGAAATTCTATTGCATTCGGCAGAAATAGCATTATTTAACTCGTCTAGATTTGGGTATTTTTTATCCTTGTATATCCTGTTTTTTAAATGGCCCCAGAGAAACAAATCATTTGGCGAAATATCAGGAGACCTTGCTGGCCAATTTACTGTATGATTTAGGCCAATAACGTGTCCGTTAAAAC